TCAGAGGTAGTGAGAGGTTCTCCCTGTGGTTTCTCAAGTTGTCGGTGTATCTATAAACACCAACTCAGAACTTTGTGTGTATTTGATGTCAATTGCCTGTTTCCCAGTGTATAACTTAGGGTGCTGGAGAGTTTGTTGTGACTCCAGCCTTCTGGGTTATCAAAGGTCTCCCGGGCAGCCTTTGCCTTCCGTTTCGTGTTTTCTGGGTCTCCTGGACAATTTCGGTTTTGAATCAGCTGCTTGGCAGCAATGGTTTAGTTAATAATTTTAGTGCGTTATTTCATCAAGGAAGCCTGTTGTGGCTCTATACAGTTTCGTTGTTTTTTCTCCCCTTTCCAATCTATCGCTGTTGCGATTTCGTGGTTATCCCTCTGGGATAACTTTGAGACACCCCTGGGTCCGCACCTGCGTCCCAATTCTCCCCCCCCCCCCTCTTTCCTGACAGTTTTCGATGCCAGCAGTTTAAAAAGTAAGCTTTCTAGATCTCATTACAGTTATGCCCCCCTCCCTGCAGATGTTTACCCTCCACAGATGCTGCCTCGTCCAGTGGAAGAAGACGATGTCGACCAGCCCGAGTGGCAGCTCGTCGTCTCCTTCTTCTGCAAGGGGATGATCGAAGGAGTCGTGCTGCTGCTCCTCCTCTGGCTCCTCATTCAGGTCCTCTTTGTGCAAAATTTGGAAGGTAATTTGACCTTTTGTCAGCGTGTGTGTGGAGGGTGCATATGACTCCTCCTAAGGAAGAAAGTAGAGCAAAGGTTACATCCTCAAACATTTTTTGCTTTCCTAATCAGCTGTAGTTTTGTTAGGGGTGGGAGTTCATAATATATCCATGTCCTGATACAACGATCAGAAAACTGGTTCCAAATATCAATTCATGTAAAAAACAAATTTCCCTGACATCTAGTCTCACCCTGTCACCACTTCATGACTCCCTCACGGTGGCGCTAATGACGCAAACGAGGGTGACTTGAACAGAAGTTAAAGGAAGAATGTGCGACCTTTTGATCCAGTAGATGTCGCCCCTCGAGCACCAGCATGAAACCAAAACAAGCTTCTGTTAGGCCACACCTCCTCCATACTGAAGCCTCCGCTCTCCTCCAGAGACACACCTCCAACCCCCCTCTACTCACATTCACACAAAGGAGTTATAAATTAGAACTCACCATACTGAAACGACATTAAGTGAACTCAGCAGACTAACTTGTCCTTTGCTTGAGGTACAATCACCTGTGTCCTGTATTGTTCTGTTAGCATGCTAATGTTAGCGCTCTTTAGTTAGCTCGTAGCTTTATATAGAACATACATCGACACAGAATGACCGTGATCTAAACAAATCTAATTACAGAAAACTAGTGATATTTCCAGGAGCAGTCGATGTGGGAACGCAAACAGCTGAATTTTCACTTGAACTTCGCCAGACCCCTTTGAACAGCCAGGTCACATTCCTCCTGAAATGATCTAGATACTTCCTGGAGTGTAAATGTGAAAAAGGCTGTAAACATGTTTTACTCTCATGTAAAGAGGATCATTTCTTAAAGGACGTCCAATGGGGAGGGAATGACTCACTCGAGGAGCCTGCCACTTGAGAAATTGCAAATTTTGGCCTTTTTCTCTTTGGCTTGAGGTTCCATTTTGGACACCACTCAAGTGAGAAAACCAATCCCTCCTCTGCACCAGATTCAGAGCAGGGATTCCCCTGAGTCAGCGAGTGAGTCAAAGAGCTCCTGAAAGAAATGATGCTGAACGAGCCGATGAAGGAACAGCTGATGAAAACTGCAGGTTCAGCCGCTTTGAAGCAGATCTTGTGTGGTAGGTTTTCTAAAGCTAAGAGGATGAGGGGATTCAGCTCAGCTTGAATAAAAGAAAATCATTTAAATGTCAAAGAGATTAAAGGTTTCTTCTAGACTGTCGAATGAGGGGGGGAAGTGTTCGTGTACACGTGCAGGAGACAGAGATAAAATACAACGAGGACGCTAAATATGTCTTCTGGTATTCTGGAGGTTTCAACATTTTCAGTCTAAACTTTCTTGAAGAGAAGCTTGCAGGTCAAGGACTTCAGTGAATCACTCAGTAGGAAAATAGAATTGTTTGAAAAGGTACACTACAGTGACATTTGACCTTCTTTTTCCTGCATTTAAAAGAAAATTCACAGGAAATAAAATGAAACCATAAATTTGAGAATGTTAACATTAAAGGCACAGTTTTTAAATTCCACCACCAGGGGGCTCGCAATCAAAACAATAACGAAAAATGACTTTGAGGCTGGCAGGGAATAATGGAAGTGATTATCTGCGCTACTCCCACCCCCACTCCTGATGAAAACGAACTCTGCGTTGACTGTAGTCATGACGACCGAATGAAACCGACCTGAGGAAGAGAATATGTTTACAGACGAGCTAATGTATCAGAGTATAATTTACAGGACGTTTTTATCACAGCGGGCTCATACAGCAACAGAACGACAGCTTTCAGCAGCAGCTCACGCTTCCTTATGCAGCGGACTTTGACATAACACCCGGTGTTTCCACGGCAGCGATACACATGTTGATACACATGTGTCTGTCATGGCTGCAGCTGCGACAAGACACGTCCCGTTTCAGGTTTTTATTGCAACTTTGTGGGGTTTCCTACTGTCATTGCAAACGCTGCACATATTGAGCAGCTGCTGTGGTTAAAAGTGTGTGTGCCTGCCTTGCCTTGATTGGTTCAGTCAGGTCACAGTGGGGTCATTTAATGGGATGTATGGCGGACTAAAGCAGAGTGATGCTGCAAAGAATAAACATGAAAACGCTGCTTTTGTTAAATAACTATTTTTACTACAAAGGACAACTTCCTACAGTGAGGAATTGTTCGCTCTGATTGGATCGGAATTCTTTCTCTCTTGTCCAGGCTATGAAGGTCCTGGGAACATGGTCTTTGTGTGTGATGAGGCATCTCTTTGTGTGCTGATGTAGAGGTGTTTGAGCCAAGACAATGACGAGAAGGAGTTTAACGCTTTCACTCCGTCATCATGTGTCTTCTTCTCCGTGTATGCTGTAAATATGTTTCTAGACGTCTCTTTCCCAATGTCTGCTTATGGGAAAAAGTATTTTGGGCGCAATGGAATCATGTGATGCTGCAATACCAAGTCCAGCCACCAGGTACAAGTGGCTTCAACGGGTGGCGCACTTCTTCAAAGAAGAAGAAAGAAAGTCAAGAGGTGAGATGTGAGGGATAATAAGACGATTAAAGGTGGAGCTGAAAAAGCCATGATACAGTCTGCCAATAACCTAGGTGTCACCATTGATGATTCAAGTGGCCTTAAATGCCCGGTCATGTCGATTCGCCCGGTACAACATGAGGAAGATCAGACCTCACCTGCCAGAGGTACACAGCTTCTCATGATATTTTGTGATGTCACCCATTGACTATTGCAGCTCCTTACTGGCAGGTCCTCCTACATGCACTGTCAAATGAGTGCAGATTATCCAAAATGCATCAGCATGACTCATCTTCAACCTCCCCAAACAGCACATGTCACTGGGCTGTTCATTTCCCTCAACTGGCTCCCAGTTACTGCTCCTTACCTAAACTCTCTCATCCAGGTCTACACTCCCTCCCGCCCACTATGCTCTGGTCACTTCCTGTCAGCACCTGTGCTCTGCCTCTGGTCACTTCCTGTCAGCACCTGTGGTCACTTCCTGTCAGCTACTGTGCTCTGCCTCTGGTCATTTCCTGTTAGCACCTGTGCTCTGCCTCTGGTCACTTCCTGTCAACACCTCTGGTCACTTCCTGTCAGCACCTCTGGTCACTTCCTGTCAGCACCTATGGTCACTTCCTGTCAGCTACTGTGCTCTGCCTCTGGTCATTTCCTGTTAGCACCTGTGCTCTGCCTCTGGTCACTTCCTGTCAACACCTCTGGTCACTTCCTGTCAGCACCTATGGTCACTTCTTGTCAGCTACTGTGCTCTGCCTCTGGTCATTTCCTGTCAGCACCTGTGCTCTGCCTCTGGTCATTTCCTGTCAGCACCTGTGCTCTGCCTCTGGTCACTTCCTGTCAGCACCTGTGCTCTGCCTCTGGTCATTTCCTGTCAGCACCTGTGCTCAGCCTCTGGTCACTTCCTGTCAGCACCTGTGCTCTGCCTCTGGTCACTTCCTGTCAGCACCTCTGGTCACTTCCTGTCAGCACCTCTGGTCACTTCCTGTCAGCACCTGTGCTCTGCCTCTGGTCACTTCCTGTCAGCACCTGTGCTTGGCCTCTGGTCACTTCCTGTCAGCAGCTGTGCTATACCTCTGGTTACTTCCTGTCAACACCTGTGCTCTGTCTCTGGTCACTTCCTGTCAGCACCTGTGCTCGGCCTCTGGTCACTTCCTGTCAGCACCTCTGGTCACTTCCTGTCCGCACCTCTGGTCACTTCCTGTCAGCACCTGTGCTCTGCCTCTGGTCACTTCCTGTCAGCACCTGTGCTCAGCCTCTGGTCACTTCCTGTCAGCACCTCTGGTCACTTCCTGTCAGCACCTGTGTTCTGCCTCAGGTCACTTCCTGTCTGTTTGTTTGCACTTCCTGACGTTGTTTCCTCTTTTCTAGATCCTTGGTCATGTTGTTCTTACTCTCTGATGTTCATCGCTTTGGATAAAAGCGTCTGATAAATTAAATTAAATGACTGAAAAATAGGAAAGCTTTAGAAGAGGATGCGTCCAAATGCACCAAACTCAAAAGGTTTTTTATTCAAACAAGCTCGCAGCTTCCGGGACAAAGATGAGTCCCACTCCTGGTCCTGTGACCATAACATGCTCGAGTTATTTGAACTGTATGAGCGGATCTGTGTCTGTCCTCTGTTGTTATTATTTGTCCTATGTTGGTGTCCTAAGCCTTCAGCTGGGTTAGTGTAGATCTGATACCTGTGATAGAAAGACGGCGAGCGGCTGCTCTGGGGGGGCTGAGCCGCTGTGCCTCTAACGCACACTCACTCACACAGACTGACACAAAAGCTCAGTCACCACATGAAGCTGCTGCTGGCTGCAGGACGATGATCTGCTCTCACTCACAGCGCTCACACTGACTCTACACACACACACACACACACACACACACACACACACACACACACTCACCAAACTGTGGGAACATGTCGCAGTACACTCTGCCAGGTAGGAGCTCTTATTGAGCTTACTTTCCTTTCATCTTTGTTCTCTGTGTCATGGATTTGTTTTCATTTGAAGCTCCCTTGTTTGTGTGTTTTTCCAGACAAAGAACGATTGTATATATCTGGACGTTGCATGTTCTTCATTATGATGCTTTTATTTGATTATTAAGGGTCGTTAAACGTGCAGGAGAGCTGGAGGAATGAGCTGAAGGAGACTTGTGTCAAAGCTGTCTGATAGCAGAGAACTTTCTTTACAGTGAGAGTGTTTGTATATAGACACATTGAATACGACCCTGCAGACCAGGTTAACCTCGGTGTAAAGTAACTGCATGTTGTTTTGACAGATGCAGGCTTGTGATGTTCTCACCCACAGATTTGCCCCTCATGAGTAGTAAAAACGCAGGATTGCAAATCCTGCAGGAGCAAAATTTCTTTATGGAACGCTGATTAGGCACGATTTCAGCATTACCTCATGTTTTGTGTGATCGGGTCGTGCAGGGCCAGCCTGAGTCGTATTTTAGATGTTCTCTGATATTACTGCTGCATCATGCCCTTCTGTACTTGAAGCTCTTTAATGCAGACTGACTGCGGAGCTGCCTGCTCCTGCACACACTCTCTGACAGAGCTGAAATTCATCTGCACTGACGCCACTGACCTGCATTTCTTCTTGTGTTCATGCACCTGGTGCAGGTCTTTACTGTCTCATGATCTTACATGATGCAGAGTGAGACACACCTGATGAGATGTGTTTTCCTCTTGAACAACAGAAGTACTTTACCTAAAGCTCTTCTGCTCTAAATCAGTGAAATTAATCAATCACAGCACTCCAAAATAAAAAGAATACGATATATTTAATTAAAGGAAAAGATCTTCTATAACATCAAACACATCCAGCTCTTCTTGTTTTCGTCTGTTGCGATGGTCACTGGCTCGAGCTCACAGCTTTCCAACCTTGTTTTGTGATCCTCACTGTGTCTGATGTATGACTCACCGCAGCACAGCCTCATTATGTGACGCCAAATGGACATCCGGGTGCAGCTTTAACGCCGCCAGTATCTGGAGCTCTGGCAGCACTGTGTTGTCGTTACACAGACGGAGTGGGTTCAAACACATTGAACTTTATCGGGATGATGTGTTGGATTTCATGTTTTTTATGTGAGCGAGGCCAAATGTCAGAGAAATCTGAATTAAATATAAAAACAAGGCATCAAATGTTTGAATCCTGACTCTGCTCATGCAGGAAAAATTAAGGATAAGGGCTCTAATGTATCACATGTGCACTGCAACTGCTCCATGGTGACTTTACCATTTATATAATTATGATTACAAGCCTGAGACACTTCCTCTTTAATCCCATCAAGGGCCCAGAATGCAGACACAACAAGATAATGCAGAGATTAAGATATCTTATTTATGCTTTTCTTTTCTTTTATGACGGAGTCGCTCACTCAAAAGCACAAAACTGATTTAATCTGTTGGTTTCTCTTCTCCCCCTCTTTGTGTTTTATTTCTTCTTCTCGGTCGTTTCCGGATCACTCTGTCTCATCGTCTCTTGTTCATCGTTATTCTAACACGTTATTGAATTACTTTGATTGGACTCTTTGTTTTCTGTGTCTGTAGTTCACCTGCAGATCCTGCTGGCTGTGGGTCTGGCTGTGTTCTGCTACTGCCTGGTCCTCGGCTGCATCCTTTGCTGTCGCAGAAAGAAGAAGAGCGTGTCTTCGGAGGACAGGGAGGCAGGCGACCTGTCTCCTCAGCGTGCAGAGAGGGTGACTGTCACGCTGAGTCCGTCTCCGTGCACGCAGCCCGTCAAACAGCAGTATGAGGAGCTGGATGGGCACGTGCTGGAGTTTCCTTCCTCCAAAAGCAGCTCCTCTCCCTCTGAGGATGACCTCCCTGCTCTGCCCTCTGACTCCAGCTCCAACAGATCAGCCGAGCCGTCTCCTGCCTCTTCTTTTCCGATGCGCCGCCTCAGCACCCCAGCTGTTCCCTCCTCTCCCACTAAACGCTCCAGCCATGGCAGAGCCTCCCTGCCCTCCATCACTAAACTGAGCCTGGTGTCAAAGTCTCGTCGGGCGGCTGGTCGACGCAGCACTGTGAGCGGGGAAAGTTTTCTGTACAGGGAGAGCAGTCAGCTAACTGCAGGTGCTGCTGGAGCCTCCAGCCAGCAGGGGGAGCCAATTCCGTCTCAGTATGGTTCTAACTCTCTCTCCATCCCGTCCAAATCTGCTCCTCTCCTGCACTTCTCCCTGCTCTTCTCCTCAGCCTGCGGCACTCTGGTGGTCAACATCCTGGGCCTCTCAGGGACCAGTCGGAGGCGCAGCGGGGTGTCTGTCCGGGCCAGCCTTCCTCCCCTCTGCCCCTCCCCTCAGCAGGTGGCATCTCGGCGTCGCAGCCTCAGCCCAGACCTGCACAGCCAGAGCTTTGCGCTGCAGGTGGGCTCTGTGGATGAGCTGCGCACCTGCACCCTGAGGCTGGCGGTGTTCAGCAGAGACTTCTCTGGCCTGAGAGAGGCCGCACTGGGCGTGGTGGAGCTGCCCTGTGAGCACATGGAATGGGAGCCAGACAGCACCACCACCTACACCAGGCAGCTTATCCCGACTAAAAGCAAGCTGAAAAAGGTACAGGGTCATTATTTCTTACCACTCATTCAATGTTTACATTATAAATAGCATAGTGTGTAAGAAAACACGCTGTGTTCGTTTAAGTTTCCCACAAATCATCTGTCAAAACACTGCAGATTCAAGCGTGGAGGATTTCTGAAACAAACCAAGTTAAGCTGTCTGCAAACAGAGAATATTTAAAGTGTCTAAAGAGGTCAGTGAAAGTGAGGATGGCCACTTAGTGGTGAGCTGTCTGTGAAATACTTGAAGGGATCGTTTAAATCTTTGGGAAAACACTTGATTGCCTTCTTGCTAAAAGTTAGACGTGAAGATCAAAACCTTTGCACATCTGCCGGGGAAATGAGAAATGACTGCAAGCTTTGTTAGCTTAGCACAAACACACTGGAGAGGACTGGCCTAGCTGTGTCCGAGATCAGCACCCCAACAGTTCAAGTGTAAAGGCGCCATTTTGAGTTGTGTAGTCACATGCTGGAGCTCTCTCTCTCTCTGCAAAGGGTCGTCCTAAAAAAAGATGCAAGTCAGGATAGCCGTGTCAGTCTTTATGCTAAGCTAATGGCAAGTGTTCCAAATTGAAACACAAACACTTTTTTTTTAACAACAAACGTCTTCTTGCCAAAATCCCACAGCGCTGTAAATCAGTCAGCTGCAGAGCGCTGGAGGAAGCTCGAGCTCGAGTTAACTAGCAGTAATGTGAGACAGCCTGGCACCTCCAGAACGGATCAAAACACAATACGGACTCTTCAGAGGCAACTTGGAACTACCCAGAAGACAATAATAGGCATATCTTTTTTTATCAGTCATTCTTGCAATGTGCCCTGTTATCTTTTCAGACTGACCTCCAATTTTCACATTCTCCATGCTCGTCGCAGTCCGTCAGCGCCACGCACTACGGCGTCGTTCGCTGCCACTTTACTTTATGATCCTGCTTCCACAGCGAGAGCCGCAGCCCATCTCCGGAGCGTGCCAGCAGATGGGCTGCGGAGCACGCTGCGAGCACGCTTTCATGCTGTGCAGAATAGAGCGACGCAGACAGGAAGTCAGACGAAGAAACTCACAGGGCATCCGGTCACTTTCAAAATAAAACACAACATAAAAATTGTCAGTGAGGGAGATCGAAGCATCTGCATGTTGAAGATGTGAAATTGATTAGCCAAGTGTTGCTAACATTAGCAGTGTTAGCACCAACATCACTCAGGCCTCCTCCTTTTTTTTTCAGGTGGTCGATCTTTGGTGCAAATTGCGCCTGAAACCGGAGACTCTGTGTGAACACGTGTGCATGTATGTGTGTATTTGTTTTGGTCAGACACATGTTTAATCAGGACTGCAGTGTTCTCCTCTATTGTTTGTCATGCTGACGTCGGTGTTAGCGACGGTAGAGCAAACGAGCACAGTGCAGAAAATTGGCGGAGCGCCCATGCTGCGCCCGCTGAAATGCTGCCAGAGGGCATTAATAACAGACTCTGGGGGGGGGGGGGCCTGATGTTTCACCAGACGTTAGTCAAGCAGGCAGAGTTTTAAAAAGAGATTTGTTGTGTTTCATTAAGACTCAGGTGTACTCACCTCTGTCCTTCCTGTCATGCCCATATATGGCGAAACCCTCCCCTCCTCACATCCATCATCCCCCCTCCTCTTTTCTCCGTGACAACAGTTTTCCGGGTGTCAGTGTGGAGCAGGATCTCGCTGTGAAAGAGCCGAGCTGCTCAGCTATCCGGATGATTCTGTACAGGGGGAGGATGTGCAGCAGTGACGTCATCCTTTATGGAGGCGGTGAATGCATCTGTAGTAAACAAAGAGATCAGTGTGAGGGGACTGGTTGATGATTCGTCATTGCTGTGCATGACTTATTCTGAAATTTTAGGGGGGTGGGGGGGATGACGGGGCAGAAATTTGTACACGATGCACGAGGAGACAGATCACGACTCTCTAACTGTCGGGATGACAACATGAGGTGGAGTGCAGACAGTCTATGTCGTGCAGCGATCACAGGGAATAAACGTCACCCCCCCGTGCCGTCTGTTTACACCAGTGGAGTCCAAAGTGCGGCCCGCGGGCCCTTGAGGGGATTTTTTTGCGGCTTCAATCGAAGGATCAGAAGATTTTAGGCCTCATTCAGATTGGCATGTTTTGTTATTTTTCTTTTTCATGTTAGCAAGGGCTGAAAAATATTCCTAAAATAGAAAATGTTCAGCACAATGTGTGTTTTTTTCTTTTTTTTTCTTTTGGTTAACTATGAAAATAAACTTCTACACTATTTTTGCAAACAAGAGGACTGTTGTTTAACCCTTTAATGTCCTGAGCTAATTACAGAAAGCTTTCACAGGCCTGATTCTGAGGGGGAAAAAAAATAAAGTAGAACGAATAAATCAAAGTATTTGCCAACCTTTTGATTCTGATCTACAAAGCCTTACTATTTCTAAATATAATAGTTTCTCACTGTAATGACTTGTTGTGTATTTACGTGACTTTTGAAGAGGTAAAAATACAAAAAGTTCACCACAAAGTATATTAAATATTTAAAAAACGAGCGATTCTAACACGACAATTTTGGCCTGCAGGAAAACAAGTTTGGACACCACTGGTTTACACCATAGACCGCCATTATTAATGCACACTCACTCACCAATCCACCTCATGAAGCTTTTATTGCTAACCTGTAAATAATGACTTTTATACATACAGTATCCCTCATTTTCAAGTCTTCAGGGACAAACATGATGCTGAGCTCATCTTCTCTTGAAAAAGAAGAACGATCAGAAAAGATGTAGCTGATGATGCTGAACCACATGCTATGTTTCTGACATGAGTCTTTTGTTGCAGACAGAATTTAAAATGTCCGTCAGAACTGCGATGGTAAAAAGGTCCATGAGGTCCATGAGGAGAAAAACGTGAGTCTTAAATGAGTTCCCCCTCTCTTCTGGGTTTTTCATGCTCGGGAGATCAGACTGAGTCATCCCGTGTAATCAGTCAGAAAGCGTCTCTTATGTAACCCGAGATGTCTGCAGGGGACGCAGTTAGCAAAACACACACAAACCTCTGAGCTGTTTGCAAAGAATGAGCAAGAAAAGGATTTTACACAAGTTTTAATTTTGCTTAATTACTAATTTTAGTTTTAATTTACTTTCTTGATTAGAAAACATATCACAGCTTTAACAGTTGATCAGGAGCAACTGTTAAAACTGCTCCTCCTTGTTCCCTCTACGCTCTGAGTCCGTCAGCTACACTCTGTTGAGCCCACACTGTTAGACCCCACGTGGGCCAAGTCTGCTCTGATTGGTCTGCCGATCCGCTCCATCGTTATTGGTCAGTTGCTCAGCACGCTTCTCGGAAATTTCAACATGAGCTGCTGGGCTTGCCACAACGAGCCAATGGGCTTAGATCAGTGATATCACACTGACAATGACGTCGGACTGACACATTTTTTTCGAGGGGGGCTAGAACCGAGCGTTACATGCAGTTAATGCTACAGCTAACAGGAGGACGTGCCCATGGCCCTGAAATGGGATGGAAACCATTCTTCTATTGGTTGGTTTGACCGATGAATACATCCAGCAAACAGCTGGAGAAGTCGACAGGTTGAAAACAAATCTGTTGCTGTAACTTTAAGGTTTGAGTCGTCCGTCTAAAAGGGGGTGCGGGGGTGTGTGAGTGACTCTGAGGTGACAGGCAGGAGCAGCGAACCGTGAGCTCGCTTCTTTGATGAAATCGTCTTCACAATCTGCTGCCCGGCCTCAGAAAGGCGCTGGAGGCCGGAGGGCGACGTTCAGCTCGATGACAGCCAAGTGTGACTAACTCAAGCCAAACAATGCGAGCAGACAAGATGTGACATGAAATCAGATGGAGATTAGCATCATTACTTCACACTGGATATCACATCTATCCACAGGGAGCTGGCTGTTTGAAACTCTAAACCTGGCTACGTCTAACGTTCATCCATTTAACCAATCAGCTTTAAGTGATTGGAAATGAGACGGACCAGCTGAGCTCCTCGCGCACGTCCATATACGGCGCCTCATGGTGTTTAACAAATATAAAAGGTCGGTTTGCTTAATTTTTGAGTGTGACTTCTGTTTTGTTTTTTTGTTTTGAAATAAATTCTTGGAACAAATTTTATTCTGATATGTTTTGATTTTTGTAACCAAACAAGTAGTGTCTTAAATGACAAGTGTAGGTGTAATAAGCTAAAGCTTCAGCCTACACCTTTTTTGGTCAAAATGTTTTTGTTTTTTATTGTGACCGAAATAAATGATTACTACTGCTCATGAATAAAAATGGACCTGATTTAGGCTTTTAGTGGGGAACCATTCTGGACAAAACTCGACAAGGAGGAGGGACTGAATCATGAGCTCCTTTCAGCTCGCCGTCATCACGTCCTTGTACATTAATATTAGCCCTATCCAAACCGCCGTTTCAAGCCACCATATTTACACCTCTGTGACGTTTCTCCTTCAATCTAAATCTTGTGGAGGCGTAATGGAGGTACAAAGTGACCCCCCCCCCATACTGTCTTCAGAGGTGTTACAGAGGAGAGACGGGATCAGCTGACAGCGAGGGAGCAAAGCGCTTTGTGTGTGTGCATGTCTGACTGTGTGTGTATGTGGAGCTCCAGCTGTGCCCTGCTTCCACAACGCTAAAACGCAATACAACATCACAGACTGGGACGCCATTATTATGCCATCACAGAATCAGTATGAATGTACAAAGACGTGATGACAGCGTTTCAGCGTTGTGGAAGCACATCCCAGCGGTCTGAACAGGGCTTCAGATGGCATGGCAACACTTTACAGCCTGATCTGTTCTTGTTTTCAACGCACAACGTTTAGTGAAAGCGGACATTTTCATCTTCTCACATTGTTGCTTCTTCTCTGGTTTTCCCTCTTCTTCTTCTTCTTCTTCTTCTTCTTCTTCCTCAGAGTACGAGTTCTCAGGAGGCGTTGGGTCAAAGGAAGAGCTCGGGGTGTACGCCGCCACGGGCTTTGGGCCAGCTCTTCATCCTGCTGCAGTACCAGTCTCTGGCAAACCGCATCAAAGTGATGGTCCGAAAGGCCGAGAATCTCGCCAAGCTCACACGGATACCAGGAGCTGCAGGTGAAAGAGACACACTCAGTCATCGTCTGGGACTTCCCTTTGGAAACACAAAACATAGTGTAGCGAACCCCAGCCAGACAATGGTGAAGCGTACTGATGTTTCTCAGAAGCCTTTAATTAGGTTCAGCCTTATTCCATATTTTGAACATAAACGTACACCTTTTCTCCTTGAAACACCGTAAGAGCTACAGGACAGACAAATAGCATAAAATTAGCTCTTACAAAACAGATAATACAAAGTGAGCCAACAGAAACCAATAATTATCTGTATGACATTAACAACACACAAGGACATTAATCAAAAGTTTACTTACATAAACCGTTATGCTATATAACTTTTAGCACAGCTAAAGCACTAACAGGGTAGCGTGACTAAGATGAAAAGTATGACCGGCTGGGCGTCAGGGACGTCAGGTGGTAGTAGTGTCAGCCTGAATGTTTAATACTGACATAGAAGGGCGGGGGGGCGGGATAGGTCTGCTGAGGAGAGACAGGAAGTGTTTGGAGGAGAGAGAGGGGGCGGGGTGGCATGCAGCAAAGGGGCCGAGGCTTTTATTCTCAGTACACAAATGCATCATGTAAGGCTCCAGAGCGCACAGTCAGTGCTTCTCTTCCAGAAACTAAACACCAGCTGGACAGAATTTCTTTATCGTCATATTATCCTAATCGTGGTCCACTTTTACGGTATCGTACCGTATTGTATCGTACCGTGTCAGGAGTTATAGTGCTGCTATAATCTACAACTTTGAGATACATCCTTTAGCACTGTGGCCGACGTGTAAACTGTGGCGCTCTCTGTTTTCTCGTCTTTGGCCTCAGAAACAGTTTGATAGAGAGGATCAGCCTGCTCTCATTTCCCCTCCTGTTTTGTTTCTCATCTTGTTTTAAACTCTGCTGCGGCGTTGTTGGCGAGCAGATGAAGAAGCCTGAGATGTGTTAAGAGGGAGACGACTGAAATGTTTTGGATGTCTGTCCCTAACCCTGAGAAACAGCTTCTGATGTCCTGCATAATAAAAGCCTGATTCTTGTCTGACAGTGACACACTGCGGTTTCATTTTATTAAATCCAATTAGCACGCTAGTACAGATTTACAAGAGATCCCTGATTACAAGCGATGATGCAGATTAGGAGCAGTGGCGACGCTCGGAGAAGATGATGAAGATGTAGACGAACATGTGGGTTGTTCCCTGTGATCAAAGAAAACACACGACAAGAAAGTTTTTACAGCGTCTTTACGTTCAACATGAAATGACGCCATGGAATGAAATAAGACATCAATCTGAATCTTGGATCGTTTTGTTTCCCCTCCCACAGACCACTACGTCATCATCAACCTGCGCTGGGAGGGGAAAGTCATCGGGACTAAGGAGACTAAAGGGGCGAGAGGTCCAAACCCGGTGTGGAACGCTCCCTTTCTGTTCGACCTGCCGCCAGGTGACATCACTCAGCTGCCATTGGCCCTGGAGTTCATCGTCATGCAGGTACGAAGTTTATTAATTTAAAACATATTTCACTTAAAACAGAGATGTAGGTTAATGTTAATGAGGTCTTCATCAGAGCTCCAAAAACATGTTTTCAATGTTTTTAACCAGGAGAGAAAGATCTCTCTTTTTAAGAGTCCTGGTCGAGACAGCTACACCTACAACAGAAAAAAATGATGAGACATTAAAAGACACAAAATTATGACATATCATAATCATCAACAAACACATCAGGGTGAACATCTGCAGCCAGATGTTTCCGCCTCAGAGTCGTTTACCATCCTCTTAAAATCCTGCAATCAGAGCAACTCGGACAGTTAGATATGCTGCATTCAGGTGCTCCTCGGACAGTTAGATATGCTGCATTCAGGAGTTTCTCGGACAGTTAGATATGCTGCATTCAGGTGCTCCCCAGATCGTTAGATATGGCGCATTCAGGTGCTCCTCAGACAGTTAGACATGCTGCATTCAGGGGCTCCTCGGATCGTTAGATATGCTGCATTCAGGTGCTCCTCGGAGGTCCCAGTTTCAGACTTGGGAAGTCGTTCTTTTGACTTCAGTGTGTTCCTGTGCTTTCAGCTCGGAAAGTCGACATCATGATTTAAATTCAGAAAGTCGGAATGTTATAACAACAACAACAAACAGCGTGGACACTATGAAGAAGATGTGTGAATGTCTCTGTTACGAGTTATAATTGAGCAAAAAAACGTGAAATATGTGAATTATTAAAAAGTATCCTGACATCAACTAAACATATTTTGCCCCCCTATTTTCCAACTCTGAAACTAATTTTTCTGATGTTTCCAACACCACATGAACGCAGCATTAGAAAAGGTCCAGGGCCCGTATTCACAAACATCCTGAGAACTGTTGCAGAGAGCTCCTCACTCAGCTTCTAACATCCCAGTGAGGATTTTTAGGAACAAGCAGTCTGTAGTCTGTAGGGTTTTCATAACAGCCCCTCTTTTTCTTTCTTTTTTTTAAAGATTTATTTCATTTTCTCCTTTAATGGAGATATAGGACAGTGGATGAAGTCGGGAATCAGGGAGAAAGAGAATGGGGAATAACATGCGGGAAAGGAGCCACAGGTCGGATTTGAACCTGGGCTGCCCGCTACATGGGGCGTGCGCACTAATCACTGCGCCCCGATAACAACCACTCTCTTAATTGCACAAATACATTGGCAACATTTTGGTACCAGAAAAAAATGGCCAATCTGTTTTTTACAAATTAGACAAGTGACTGGTATCGATATCGTTTGATGTTATTTATTGTGTAAAGATTCTGTTACCATGACAACCTTCTTCTTACACGTGTGAACTTGAATGCATCCTCAGGGCCGACTCTACACGAAGAGCAGCATTCTGGGCCGCGTGCTGATTGGTGGAGACATTTCAGAGGCGGGACGGGGACACTGGAAGGAGATGTGCAGTCGGGGGCAAACGGAGACGGCTCGCTGGCACAGCATCCAATCAGAGTGACCGCTCAACTACACACCTTTTGTCTTCACCTTAAATCTTTATCTCTTTCTTTGTACGGCGGCTATTACACCAACATGGCCGAGCGTCTGCAGAGCGTCACAAAGACGAGCGGTGATGGCGCCGCTCCTCCACGCCGCCTTGTGATCCTTTACGTCTGTATAACTGTCATGGTGGCTGTTTTTGTGGCGCTGTGTGAAAAAAGCTACAGATGTGAAATTCTGACATCAGAGATGTGAAACGTTCTTGTGGTTAGCTGTGATGTGTTACCGTGCCAGTATCTGTCCATCTCCTCTCCTCGCTAACATGTATGAGTTCATTACTGTTAGGCCCCCGTGTCCACATGGCGTTTTTCTGTTAGCACCAGCACAACACAGA